TCGGCTATGGCGGACGGGTGTGGGTGAGGGAGGAGGATGAAGGGTTGGAGGTGGTTGGCTATGGTGGACGGGTGTGGGTGATGGAGGAGGAAGAAGGGTTGGAGGTTGTTGGCTATGGTGAACGGGTGTGGGTGATGGTGGAATAAGAATGGTTGGAGTCGGTCAGCTATGGTGGACGAGTGTGGGTGATGGAGGAAGAAGAAGGGTCGGAGGTGGTTAGTTATGGTGGACGGGGTGCGAGTGATGGACGAGGGAGAAGGGTTGGGGTGGTCCCGCTATGGTGGACGGGTGTGAGTGATGGAGGAGGGAGAAGGGTTGGGGTGGTCCGGCTATGGTGGACGGGCGTGATTGATGGAGGAGGGAGAATGGTTGGGGTGGTCCGGCTATTGTGGACGGGTGTGGGTGATGGTGGAAGAAGAAGGGGGTGAAGCCGGTCGGCTATGGTGGACAAGTGTAGGTGACGGAGGAGGAAGAAGGGTCGGAGGCGGTTAGCTATGGTGGACGGGTGCGAGTGATGGAGGAGGGAGAACGGTTGGGGTGGTCCGGCTATGGTGGACGGGTGTGAGTGATGGAGGAGGATGGAGGGTTGGGGTGGTCCGGCTATGATGGATGGGTGTGAGCGATGGAGGAGGGAGAAGGGTTGAGGTGGTCCGGCTATGGTGGACGGTATGGGTGATGGTAGAAGAAGAAGGGGTTGAAGCCGATCGGCTATGGTGGACGAGCGTGGGTGATGGAGGAGGAAGAAGGGTTGGAGGTGGTTAGCTAKGGTGGACGGGTGCGAGTGATGGAGGAGGGAGAACGGTTGGGGTGGTCCGGCTATGGTGGACGGGTGTGGGTGATGGAGGAGGATGAAGGGTTGGGTTGGTCCGGCTATGGGGGGTGGACGTGAAAGAAGGCCCGTTGGATGCGTCCTAGCTCCTAGCCCCGTACCTCCGTTTTCTACTTCGGGTACCTGGCTGCCACATATCACTTTCAGAAGTCACTGGTCACAACAAAAATGGAGAAGGGACAGGACTGCAGCCCACACCCACACCCATACACATACTCCGAATGTCACTGGTTACAGCCAGGGGTAAAGACGGACTGCACAAGTTACCGGGGACTGCAACACTTACACTTACACACACCGAATGTTACTGGGTACAGCAGGGCGAAGAAACGGACTGCACAATCTACCGGGGACTGCAACACTCACACACACACACCGAATGTTACTTGGTACAGCAGGGGTAAAGATGGACAGCACAAGCTACCGGGGACTGCAACACTCTCACAACACACACCGAATGTTATTGGGTACACCAGGGGGTAAAGATGGACTGCACAAGTTACCGGGGACTGGAGCACTCACACTTACATACGCCGAAGGTAACTGGGTACAACAGGGGGTAAGGACGGACTGCACAAGTTACCGGGGACAGCGGCACTTACACTTACACACTTCGAATGTTACTGGGTACAGCACAAGTTACCAGGAACTGCAGCACCCACACACACACACACCGAATGTTACTGGGTACAGCAGGGGGTAGAGATGGACTGTATAAGCTACCGGGGACTGCACCACTCACACACACACACACACCGAATGTTACTGGGTACAGCAGGGGAAAAAATGGACTGCACAAACCACCGGGAACTGCAACACTCGCACACATACACACCGAATGTTACTGGGTAGAGCAGGGGGAAAAGGTGGACTACACAACTTTTGAGAGCACCTTAATCCAACGGAAAGTTCACCAAAGCACCCCAAGGTAAGTCGCAACTTAGACATGCATCAAAGTCAGCGAGGACACAAGTTTGAGAGCATCTAACCCAGCGGAAAGTTCACCGAAGCATCCCAAGGCAATTTGCAACTTAGACATGCATCAAAGTCAGTGAAAACTCAAGACTTAAAGCACCTTTGAAGGGCAAACATCACCGAACTATCACAAGGTGAATCGCAACTTACCCAAGCACTCAAATCAGTAAAAACTCAAGCTTTGAAGCAATCTATGGAGAGGAAGCATCACCGAACTATCACCGGGTGAATCACAACTCACCCAAGCCCCCAAATCAGTGGAAACTCAAGATTTGAAGCAATCTATTAGGGAAACCATCACCGAACTATCACAAGGTGAATCACAACACATACACACAACCAAATTAGTGAAAATACAATCTTTGAAGCAATCTATGAAGGGGAAACATCACCGAGCTATCACAAGGTGAATCGCAACTTACCCAAGCCCCCAAATCAGTCAAAATCCAAGATTTGAAGCAATCTATGAAGGGGAAACATCACCGAACTATCACAAGGCAAATCACAACACATACACCCACCCAAATCAATGAAAGCACAAACTTTGATGCAATCTATGAAGGGGAAACATCACCGAACTATCACAAGGTGAATCGCAACACATACACCCACCCAACTCAGTGAAAACACAACCTTTGAAGCAA